TATATATATATATATGCTAGCGAATAAGAAAGTTGGAATTGAATTTGTATACATATTCCTTCAAAAATAAGTCACTAACTCTGCCAGTTTTCGCTGATCCCACACAGTAGCCTAGATATAATTAGATTAGTGTGTATGTTTTAAAATTTTCGGTGCAGTCAGACCTGTTATTTCTGACATAATTCGTACACCTCCGTTAGTTGCAATATCAGAATTAAGACTTCAATCAATACATTGTTGAAAATTGAATTAAATAAATAAAAGATGGTTATCGTTGATATACCAGAAGGCGTTAGTTCCGGTAAAATATTGAGTGAAAGATTGTCTTTAACGACATTGAGAGAAAAATGGACTTCAACGGAAAGTATCATATCCGATTTCCTCAATTATTTAGTGGATTATCAAGGTTCTTATCAGTTTATTTAGGAATACTAACCATTTTTTTAACGTATTGTAATACTGTGAATAAATAATTTAATTACATTTAAGAAACTCCCGGACCTCCCGGAGAACCATTCGTAACCGACACGGGAAGAAATTGGATTTCTTTAACATGGAGCAAGCCTGAACCGAGAGGAGCAGCCCCCGTGTTAGCGTACAAAGTAGAAGCATGGCAGAAGGGTGGAGATGGAGCTAGATGGGTAGAACTGGGGGTTACTCCAATTAACAGCTTTGATGCTTTCAATTTAAAAGTGAGCGGAGAGTATCAGTTCAGAGTAACACCAAGAAATAGATACGGATGGGGAGAATCTGTTATAAGTGCACCAATCCTGATAGGGAAATCGGTAAAATTACCGGAATTCATGGTGGTATTACCAGGACAAGTAAAAGCACTACAAGGATCTGATACCGTCTTGTCATGCGAGGTATTTTTTATTATTTAAAATAGATGTCAACCACACAAATAATATGTGGTGATTTTATTAAATGAAAATAGAAAATTGTTATTCAAAACTTGAAAATTGTGCTCTCTTTCAGTCTCCGTAGACTGTAGCATGATAGAAAATACTACAAATGGCGCAATAAACGCCATCTGTAGCATGATGCTACATTTTAGAATTACGTATACTCCAACAAGGTTCAAACTTTTTGGATCTCATCGCGATCCGCGTCTGGCAGTTTCGACAGAATACAGACCACTTCGAATTATTTTATTGTAGCATGATAATTTATTGTTCAAAATCTTCCCCAAAGTCCCATTCTTTCTAATAAGAAGTGGACTTTTAAAAATCCAAATTATCCTTTCTATAGACAATAAATTGATTTAAGGTTAATGGAGAACCGTTCCCTGACATACATTGGTACAAAGATGGCAACGAAATATTGGCAGACCTAAATGAACGTTACCAAATAACCGAAACAAATGGAACTTGCAATTTAATCATTTCTGATTTGAAAAATGAAGATTCGGGCCGCTACATTTGCGAAGCAAGCAATAGGATCGGTAGGGTGTCCACATTCGCTCGTCTTTCAGTTGTTGACGATCCTAAACTCATTGAAGCAGACGATCATTTAAAACTGTAAGTGGTTGAATTACTACTTGTAGAAGTTGAACTAGAAATAGTCTTCATTTTAGAGCTCTTCAAGACACGGACTTGGCAGTTAAAAGTTCTCCTCAGTTTACAATGAGACTTCGAGACAGAAGGGTTCAAATAACTTACCCTGTACGTCTCACTTGTCAAGTGATTGGACTGCCGTTCCCAACAGTAACCTGGACGAAAAACGGGGAAGAAGTTCATGAAGATAGTTGTCACAAATTTTATGAAGAGGACCACTTTATAACACTAGAAATAACTAGAACATCATTGGAAGATGCAGGGGAATATCGAGTTGTTGCCAAGAACCAGTACGGATCTGTATCGTGCGGGGCATCCCTAATAGTAGATAAGGGAATAAGGGCGTACATTGCGCCAGAATTTTTCTGTGTTCTAGAACCAGAAGAAGTAGCCGTTGAAGTCGGAAAGGAGCTTCGTCTAAATGGAAAAATTGAAGCTTATCCCAATGTCAGCGTATTGTGGTTAAGAAATGGGGTAAGTTAAAAAAAAAGGAATCAATTTGTGAAGAACAAATCATTATCTTTCTTCCTTGAGCCAATTGTAAAACTGTCTACAATTCTAACTATCTAATATACCCCTCTTAACTCCTGTTTCTGCTTCTAATGTCTCTAATAATCTTTTCATGTCTGATGAGGTGTCCTACCAACTTGTTTCACCTACTTCTTATTGATTTCTCTGCTATTGTTTCCAAAAACTTAATAATTGTGACACTATCGTCTTCTAAAAATCTTTCCAGGGATTTAAATGTATTTCTATGTAAGATTGACAAAATTAATGGTCGTTTCCTAAATTGACTTGGCACTCTTTCAAAAGAAAACTCATGAATCAGAATAACGTAACAAAATAAACTTTACGTAAATAAATCGTCGTAAAATATAAGACATAGAAACTGTTTATTAAGAATAGCGACCCGTTTAGTTAAAATAAATAAATAACTAACGCTTCCGGTTGTATCACCGGAAATTGATATATGCAGTAACGTTTCATGTTTAGTATTATATTATAGTTATCAACAATGTATTTGTATTTCCCTATATTTAAAAAGACACAGACGAAGTATGTCTACTTTAATTACTACAACAATTAATTTTAAAGGTTCGACTTAGACCATCGCGTAATGTTATCATGACGCTTTCCCCGGATGGCAGGGTGGAATTAACAGTAGCAAAAGTTACAGTAAAAGATGGTGGTGTGTATACATGTGTTGCTATGAATGAAGTTGGAAGAGCAGAGTCAAAATCCAAAGTTGTAATTGTCAAAAAATCACCCGAAGTGGAAACGGAAGCAAATATTGTAGAAGAACCGGAATCTACCACACCGTACGTTTAATTTTTTTGAGTATACATTCGTTTCACAAATCCTATTATTCCTATTTTTTATTTTTAAAGGTACTCCAAAGAGCCGAAGTTTTTGAAAAAACCCCTCGCAACGGAAGCATACGAAGGAGATGACGTAGTGATTTTGTGTGAAGTTATTGGCGATCCCAAACCAGAAGTTTATTGGCTGAGAGATTTCTTGAAGGTAAGCGATTTTTGATCATCAATAGAAATTGAACTAACAAAATTTTAATTTGATTTTAAAATGAATTAATTCAAGAACAGGACAGTCAATTAGTTCACGGTAAGATGCCGAATAACGTTTTGGAAATATTACAAATAACAACATCAGTTGACAAAATTAATTAAGTTTTGTTTCTTAAAAAAGAGGACTGTTTATCATCAGTTCTTTACAAATATCGCACAGTTGATATCAAAAAATCGATTCTGAATAATCCTTATCATTTTCAATGTGATGTGTTGATGTTGACTATGGGGCGAAGTAATCTGTTTCGACAAAAATATCTTGGAGTAGGTGTTCATAATGTCAGATCAACGCGTTAGGCTACGCTCACACTACAACTCGATTGTTCAACGACAGTTTAGTCGGTCGGAGGTAGGTTATGGGCGCATTAGCAAACTAAACTGTTTAGTACCACATCTGTGCCCGCATACGAACTGAACTGTTGTTTAAAAGAGAAATAATCTGCATCTAAGGCAATGCTAAAGTGGATTTGGTAGAGACGAAAAACGTATAATAATAAAAGATACTGGATTAGTTTAATCACCCATATCATGATTTTACATATTCTAGGAAGCTTTCAAATTCCACAGAATGAGTGTGGCAAGTCCCTTCGCATTACAGTCACTGTACTTTTTTTAATTTTGTCGTACAAGGCTGGTTTTCTTTCAACTATTCCGTAAATAAAACTTTTAAAATTAGAAAAATTTATAAACCCAACAGTTCGGTCGCAAGGTACACGCACAGACGTAGCTATCTTATACTGTAAATCTGTCGGTTGCTCAGTTGGGTACAAGTCGTGACAATACCCAACTGAAAAGTTTGTGAACAGTTGTGTCGGTCAATGCGCGCGTATTCATATAATATTACCATTCACGACAAAACAGTCGCAGTGTGCGCGCAGCCTTAACAAGGAGATTTTTTCTTGTAGCACCTTTAGACATTTAATTATCCGAATTATTGCAACAGTTGTTTGTCCAACTAATAGGTATACTAATTTTATTGGCGGTAATGCTTGATTCGATTTATAATTAATATTGTAGGTAGATTAATTAATTAAACAAAAAAGACGTGTCTAGTTTTCGTCTTTTCGTTCAGCGGCTCCATAAAAGGAGACGTTATTATCTTCAATTTTCTAACGCAAAGATAATTTTGCAATACGCCACGTTCCTTTTAGAGCAACCACAATAATATAAAAACTGGGACATTCTGTACCCACAAACTTGTATCTAATTGTTGTATATTTCTTTACCACAAATACTACATAAGTTGAACCCGTTCAAAACAGCTGCATATGTCCTTGCGGAATGCCTTAAATATTAAAAACTTATCTACCTGTAGACATATAAATAAGTCGATGCCATTATTTTTTAATTGGGCAACAATCCATAACAATTAACAACATTTACTCAAATGATATGAATTATTTATCAATGAATAAAAAGCAATTGATTGTACGTTAACAATAATAGTTACAAATTAATAATTATTATTATAGATAAATTGCTGATTTCTAGAATTAATATCCCGATTTTCAGTGTTAATTTTATTCGTTTTAATATTTGGTGGTCTTTAATCCTTCTTTGACAGTTTGTTTGACTTAATTTTGCAAAAATCGGTTTTAAATTGTTTTTCTTCTGACCATGTGGCTTTGTAACGTATCCCCATTGAACTTTTAGCTTCGATACCGCCAAAGAGAAGTCTTTCTTTTGCCTTTCATCACCAGTCTTTATCTCAACTCGATCGAATCCGGTATATATTATATATGTTACATGGACAATATTATCTTTCTCGCGGTATGAAGTCACCTTCCAACGTTTCATTCTTCTGGTTGTGATTTGTTCTTAAGTTTCTTATCAACCCCCGGGCTAAGTACTGCTCCAGGTAAAATCGAAGGTATAATAACACATACAAATCATCAAAAGGGACATTTTGGTTAGTTCTCCGTCTAATTTCTCTTTTTTTAAATACGATTATTTTTCAATCCTTACTAAATCTAAAGTAATACCTGAGTAATCTTATTATATTATGTATTTTCGTTTTTTCTGTCCTTTTTCCAAATTTAACTTTAAAGTTATTTTATGTAATTTGCAGCACATATTACGTGCCTTTAAAATAATAAAGTAAAATTTTTTATCCTAACTGAATTGTTCATAGTTTTCTTTAAAAAAACCATTTACACGTAAAACTGTTTTACCACCATGTTATACTGAAATTTTTTATTTCAGAATGTGATTTCGTCTTCTAATAAACGATTTGTAAAAATTACCCTCTAAATTTTGTGCTATATCATATAGAAATACACTAAATATTGTAAATTTTAACTCAAATATGACGATAAATATAAAAAAAAAGTAAGTTTCAAGTCTTACCAAATGGTTCTTCAAATATCAACTTAATTGCTAATTCTTGAGTTTTTATTAATGGTTCAGTTATTTTAATTAATGGTCCTACTTTTCAGAAACGAAAAACTATAACTTTCCAGTTTTATCATTAATTTTATGTTCGCGACAGATGTCTAGGTACATAATTTTATGATAATATACAATAAAAAGTGCACACATTTCCCAGCACGCGAAATTTTATTAGTCATGCGTCCCTGACCAATTAAAGTTAGTGTCATGTAGACAACGCTCGGCTTGACAAATCTTAAACATTGTAAGGTAGTAGGTACCTGTTCACAATTTTTTTTTTGTTTTCTATAAATTAATAAGCAAAAATATAAGAAATTTTTGCCAGATTTTATAGCCACAAGTGTGCGTATGACTAATATTAAAGAGGGAGCGCAGTTTTTTTAATTTTATAGGTATCTACATAATATTCAATCCAATATTTGCAAAAAATCAAAGTATATAAGGTCGAAAACCATCTTATTAGGGAAATTAGTTTCGCTCTGTTTCTTTTGGTAAATTTCAATTAGATCCGCCGGAATGCATAATAACAATTTAGGCCAGAAAGAATCTCACTTACGTGGTCTCCAACAATGTAATACATATACACAAAACCCTATAAAAAATTATATGTCGTCTGCCCTTTTTCCATGGGCTTATTAATCAAAGAAGCCGCCTCGAACTTGAAATAATTTATTGGTTACGGCACTGGTTCGTTTCGAGACATTCTTTTCGGTTGAAAATAAAGAGGTAATCATAAAATCTCATTGGACCGCTACTTGAAATTGAGATTTATGGTCCAATTATTTACTGGATTCTGACGAAAACTGGACAAATAAGTAGCAATTTAGGCGCGAAGCACAAATCATTCCGATTTGAATCGTTTGTCTGCATTATTTAATCCCGCTGTCAGTCAAGAAAAACGCTATAAGAAGGAAAAGATTCTGATCGAACTTTTTTTGTTGTGTACGTATATTCAGGTATTAAACGTCACACCTACATACATATATTCAGGTTCGACGTGTACGTGTATTAATTTGTGCATTATACAACAAGGTGTATGTTTGGAGCGCGGCGCTGTATGGGTGCGAAACATGGACAGTGGACGCAGCGGAAAATAAAAGGTTAGAAGCGCTCAAAATGTGAAGTTACAGGCGAATGATGAGGATACCGTGGACAGAGAGGGTTAGAAATGAAGACGTATTAGAAAGAATAGGAGAACAAAGGACTCTGTGGAAGTCAATAAGAAACAAGGCGAGATAGGTTAGTAGGACACCTTCTCAGGCATGAAGGTCTAGTCAGAGACATATTAGAGGCAGAAACAGATTAGATTACTGTTCGCAAATAGTTAAGGATGTGGGTTGTTTTAGTTTTAGGGAAATGCAAAGATTAGCTCAGGATATGAAAAAGTGGAGGTGCGTGTCCAACCAGTCTTAAGACTGACGACCTTATGATGATGATACACCAAGAGGGGTTTATGTTACTTGGTAGTGAAAATATGCCACCACGAAAGAAAAATGGTACAGATGATTCCCAAAAAGCATACATACCTTTTGTTTTACACAATTAGACTACATAATATAATTTCTTCTAATTATTTAACACTTTATTAAATAATTTTGTCGAACCTGTAAATCCGAAATAAAATGTAAACTTATATATACACTCACATAGGAGGCTGGTATAATCATACTTTCGCCCTTGAAATCAGAGACAAACATCGCACTTTCGTCAGGAGTATGATAAAAAAATTATAATAATATCCTTTTGCTTTAAAAAGGATGAATATGCGCATGTACATTGTACATGTAGTTTGTTTCCAATTTTTTTTATTTGCTGAGTGCGAAAAAAGAAAAACGATTTTATTATTCTTACCGTGTTTTCATTAAACATTATAATATGGCCATCTTACATCAGAATCTTTAAAAAGGTCATTGTTATTCATAATACAATACAGAATCGCTGTTACTGAATCGTATAAACGAATGTACCAAAATTGAACACTCGAGGTGTCTCTTCTTTTTAAAATCGCATACCATAAAAGGATAACCACAAGCCATTTGGTGATATAATTTTCGTCAACATTTAAACTTCATGCCTACACGTGCTTATAATTGTATCTACCTGTACAGGGCGTTTCTTGATGTATAATTAAAAAAAATAAAAAACATTTGGTAATGCTACTGTCTACGTTTAGTCTTAGGTTTGTATGTTGAAAAATACGATATATTTTTGTCTTAATTAAGAATCTCTAATTGTCTAAAATAATGTGAAAATTCATTTAATTTTTATTCACTCCAAATTATTTCAAATTAATGAGAAAAAAATATTACTGCTGTCACGCCTTCGCCGGGAATCGAACTCGGGTCCCTAGCTGTAAGCACCATTGCTCTACCACTATGTTATGAGAGGTAATAGCAGGAATAACGACGATTTTGTAACCTACATATATACTTAGGCAAGATCGGCGTAGTCGAGTGGTAAAGCAAAGTCAAGGACCCGAGTTCGATTCCCGGCGAGAGCATGACAGCATTAACATTTTTTCCTCATTGATTTGATGGTAAAAATTAATTCTCTTTTGTGTAATTTGTAGTGAATTTTTAATATTGTTCGTAAATCCTCGTCTCTTATTATTAAACCCGGTTTTACAGGTTTAAAGGCACCAAAGTTATGTGATCGAACTTTCTTGGGTACATTTCTAATGAACAAGTGCACTTCTAGAATTTATTTTACAGTTATAGTTTGTGTGGTTTATACAAAACTTTTACGGAATGTATGTACTATATTATGTTTTAAATTACAATCTACTAGAGGATATAGTCACGCATTTACAATTAATGTCGTTTTTATAACCGGCATCCAAATCGTCAAAAGTTTCTAGCTGTATTATGCTATGAACACTTTCTTCTTTGTTATCTGGGATTAGGCATAAAGCAGATAGGATACGATGTTGACTGTTAATAGAAAAAGTAAATGATGATATTTACTATTATTCCTTTCTGTGAACGACTATAAAGAATCCAGTTCTAAAAGGGAAACGTGTTATTAAGTCTTAGCATGTTATCCGTAATACATGAAAGTTGTTTCTTTGATTTTTAAACGTACCTACCAGGTTCAGAATTCAAAGATAAATTGTAAGCTAAGAACAAAAAAAACGGACAGACAGACATACGAGTGATCCTATAAGGGTTCCGATTTTCGTGCGGACGTACGGAACCCTAACCCGAGAACCAATTTAATATTGTAGTTGAAAAAAGAACATGTTTTTCCATATAGGTACATTCAAACTACAAATTTAAATCAAGATTGTTTTGTTGAAAGATTTACCACCGCACGGTATGTTCAGACTAGGTCAATTTTCATCTATTTTCAATAACAGTGAAAGCTTTTTATTTTAAAAATATANTATTAAAAATATAAAATATATATATTTGAGACCCTTACAACAAGCCCTTTTATTTGATATGTCACACGGTACAGTTTACAAAACTTTTTTTTTTTAATTTCTTATTGGCCCCCTAAAAATGACTCCCATGTTCAAAATTAATTTATTTACGTTGTGCGTCTGCGTTTGGGTCACAGAAATTCATATGTATAATATATTTCAACTTAATCGGTCCAGTAGATTTGGAGCAAAGTGATTGTGATAGACGGACAGACAGACACACGGGTGATCCTATAAGGGTTCCGTTTTTTTATTAGGACGTACGGAACCCTAAAAAGTAAGAAAACTTGAAGTAAGCAGTACTTTTCACTGAGTCCTTAAATAATGACAATTGTGCATGTTTGTTAAACATTACTACATTAAATCTATTCTCAGCTAAAACAACATTTGTTTGCGAAGTTTAGAAGGTTGTTGTTATTCAAAAGAGTCAAGAACTAATCGTCATCGTGATTTATGAATTAGCAGCTATAACTTCATTAAACAAAAGCCCACACCTTTATTAGAAATTCACGCCAGGTAGAGATTAGATTTAGTCGAAAATAATTATAACGAATCGAACAGCATACTAAACGATAAAATGATAAATTGTTTCCAAAATAGGCTCGACTAGCTAGACAAACCTATCAATAACGTTGTTAATTGCGGAGTAGTAATACACCATGTTACACCTTAGCATAACCTTATTACGTCACACGTCCTGATTCCGGCGGATGTGCGAATGGAAAAACAAATTGCGTGTGTTTTGAGAGACGGGATAAGAAAAACAATTCGACTAGGAATAAAGATTAACTATATGTATGTATGTTTATAAAAGTTATAGATCTTTTAGCGTATTGAGAGTAGAATTTTTGCATGCGGATGCAGCACGCAACCATGGACAACGGCATACACATTAGCTGGTATGGCTAACTTCACACCGGTGCGGTGCGCGCGCAGTTTCCGTTGTGTACTGCGTGTAATTTCCTTTGCACGCAACTTCAAAAATCCAAAACTTGTTAATTTCTAATTTTAAGTGATATTCTTACATCACAAATCTAATCTTGTTGACTTTGATAATAAGTATATTTACTTAACTTTACAATATGACAATATATATATCTAATGTAAAATGCATAATGATCTAGAACCCTCGGAGTGCAAGTTCTACTTATATTCCTTAAAAAACTGAAAGCTTTGAGTAGCCACGTTGAATTATCTATGAACCGTACAAAGAAATACCTTAACAGGGTTCTAAATGTTCGTTTTCGCTTACTTCAAAGTACATATAATATGTACGTATATGTATATACAATAGGTAAAACTACCTTATGTAGTATCAAAGCTTCGTGAACACGTTTCATGATCAATCTAATTTAAGTGTACACTGGATAAAATATACTTGCAACTTTCTAAACTAGCAACTTCCAAAACAGTTGCTTCCTACGTACAAAGACGTTCGTAAATATTGTGCAAATTCTATAAAAGGACAAGAGTGTCTTTCGTTTTTACACTATTTACCATATAAAATCGCTGACTGGAATGTAAAGAACATTACGTATTTAATCGTCCTTTGTTTTCACTGCAAATGTACGTAAATGACTCAATAAGGTCTATCTATTTTGTCACTGGACACGAGAAAAACGCTACGAGAAAAAAATTCTATGTGATACTTAATCTGACATTAAAGTTCAAGATTTTATGGGGGTTTTGTTTTGTTAACGATTTCAAAAGAGCTTCATAGTATATTCAAGCCATTGCGTTAAAAACGTGTTAAAATAAATACCTAAGCCTATTTTTTATTATTTTCATACCGAAGCCTCCCATTTTAGATTCATTTTTCAAAAAACGAATGTACCTTTTTTGTAACTGCTCGGGGAAATCTTTTTACTAATAAATATCAGTTTATATACCTCTTTATCAATACGTAATCAGTAATTATGATAATCTTTATCGCAGATGTTTGAAAAAAATAATTATATCACTTCAAAAGAGTTATCATGTGTCATTACTACAAATGTTAATGATTTGTTAGGTTTATACTCTTTGATGTCTGAATACCTATTATTAGGTACCTAATATGAATTTTCTGTATTAGAATTTTCACGATAACTGACTTTGTTAATATTAAATATAGTAAATATTTATTATCTTACAAATTCTGTTTTAATTGCGCCTGCAGGATTTTATTTATTATTTGCCTCTATATTAACTAATTTCTTCTATAATACAATAATCTAGGTATTANTTCAATTTCAATTTACGGTTATTCAAAATCATTTTGTGGATTTTTTTAATGGTTTCGTCCGTAACAGCCTCTTTTGGGCGTCCACTGCGTTCACCGTCTACAGTCGAATTCCGATTCTCATATCCTAACTCATTTAGTCGTACCTGAAAAAGATAATTTATGAAAAATATGTAAAATAAAGAATAAAGCATAGTATTTTAATAAATTTTCTGTTTTCAGCCGGGTTATTATAGAGACGCACCCCATTTCCACATAGTGGGCAATGGTCCAGAATATCGACTAGAAATTCCCCAAGTTAAACTAGATTTTACCGGAACATACACGGTCTTGGCCAAAAATTGTCACGGAGACACCAAAGCAATTATTTCCTTACAAATTTTCGCAAGAGGTACGAAAACTAAACTTTCAAAAATACATAATTTATTTATTGAATCGTTACATACTACCATTTACCTTAAATTTTTATGGGTTTATTAATTGTTAATTTTTTAATTACAAATAGATATAAATGGCGACAAAAACGGTATGGACAGAAGAATTAGGTAAGAAGGTGTATTTCCTGTGCTGAAAAAATTAATAAACAAGTACTCTAATTTGTAGCAATTTACAAACCATTCCAAAGATAACAGGAGAACTAAAAAATATTCGATGCTGTGACGGGGATGAAATTACTTTTGAGTGTCAAGTAGAAGCCTCACATCCCCCAGATATAAGATGGGAAAAGAACGGAAAGGTAATATTTCTTTCGTCAAACAATCTTTAAAAGAAATTTTACATCTACTTTTTTGCATTTAAGCTGATTGTACTAGGAGGTGATTTCTCAACCGAATTTGAAGGTAAAACAGCGAAATTAAAAATTAAACAAGTGTATCCCGAAGACGAGGGTGAATATACTTGCGTAGCTTACAACGAATTGGGAAAAGCTTATACCTCCGCCTGTTTAGTAGTCGATGGTATGTCTGAAACAAGAATAATATCAGTCTGAGTTTACATTTTAGTTTTTCCTTTTTAGTCCCAGAAGAACGTAAAGCCATGCTCACTCAGACCTTAAATCGCCCATCCGAAATATTTTCTACTGAATCAACCCCTCGCTCCACACCCCGAACAACCCCTGTCCGTAGCGTATCTCCCCGACCTCGCCAAAGAACAACCCCTACTTCATCTTCCCCAAGAATACGAAGAATGAGAGCGATCGCTCCAAAGTTCTACGCCGTTCCCCACAACAGGGTAGCAGAACAGGGCGAAACTGTCAGATTCCAATGCGCCATTGGAGGACATCCTGACCCGTGGGTAACGTGGGAAAAAGACGGAATCACTGTCACACCGTCTTCCAGGATTTCCATAAAAGAACAGGAAGACCTAAAAATTTTGGAAATTGCGGAAGTTACAAGAGAAGATGCAGGACTTTACAGAGTTGTGGTGGAAAATAATGTTGGAAAAATTGAAGCTAGGGCCAGACTGGATGTCATAGCACATAGGGAAGCATACGCAAGAGGTGTCAGAGCTTATAGTGCTTCTCCAAGACCAGCACCCGTCTACTCGAGAAGATTAAATGACACCTTGTCCAGGATTGGGAGCTATGCCAGGTTTTCCTGTGAAGTCCGGAATGTATATATACCACATATAAGATGGTAAGTGCAGCACACATAATCAAAAAAAGTAGAAATCAATAAAGCTAGAATTAAAAGCGCGCTAATATTCGAAGAGCAAATAATAGAAGTAGTGATGTTCTAAATGCAATATTTTACTGACATGTAACAGGTCAATTGAAAAGTCCCCGGCCTAAAATAGTATTTTATTAAACATAATTCCCTTCAAGGGTGATACACTGATTATAGCGATCCTCCAACTTTTCAATACCATTTTTGTAGTACGATTTGTCCTTTGCTTCAAAATAGGCCTCAGTTTCGGCGATCACCTCTTCATTCGATGAAAATTTTTTCCCAACGAGCATTCTTTTGAGATCTGAGAACAGGAAGTAGTCGCTGGGGGCCAGATCTGGAGAATACGGTGGATGCGGAAGCAATTCGAAGCCCAATTCATGAATTTTTGCCATCGTTTTCACTGACTTGTGAGACGGTGCATTGTCTTGGTGAAGCAGGACTTTCTTTTTCTGCAAATGCGGTCGTTTCTCGGCGATTTCGTCCTTCAAACGGTCCAATAACGCTATGTAATAGTCGCTGTTGATGGTCCTTCCTTTTTCAAGGTAGTCAATGAAAATTATTCCACGCGCATCCCAAAATACAGACGCCATAACCTTGCCAGCCGACTGTTGCGTTTTTGCACGCTTTGGAGCGGGTTCATCGTGTGCAGTCCACTCCGATGACTGTCGATTGGACTTCGGAGTGAAATGATGGAGCCATGTTTCATCCATTGTCACATATCGACGCAAAAACTCGGGTTTATTACGCGTGATCATCTTCAAACACTGCTCTGAATCATCAACTCGTCGTTGTTTTTGGTCAAAAGTGAGCTCGCGCGGCACCCACTTTGCACAGAGCTTTCTCATACCCAAATATTCGTGAATGATGTGATGTATACGTTCCGTTGATATCTGTAGAGTGTCTGCTATTTCATTCAATTTCAATTTACGGTCATTCAAAATCATTTTGTGGATTTTTTTAATGTTTTCGTCCGTAACAGCCTCTTTTGGGCGTCCACTGCGTTCACCGTCTTCGGTGCTCATTTCACCACGTCTAAACTTAGCATACCAATCCTTGATGGTTGATTTTCCTGGGGCAGTGTCCGGAAATTCGTTATCAAGCCAAGTTTTTGCTTCAACTGTATTTTTTCCCTTCAAAAAGCAATATTTTATCAACACGCGAAATTCCTTTTTATCCATTTTTTTCACAATAACAAAAGTTGCTTCACTAAAAATGCTATAATTCACAAACTAATGATCCGACAGCCGTCAAATTTATAGACGCGTCTTTTGAAGGTTAGGACTAACTGAAAATCATATGGATTTAGTTCTGGTGCCGCCATCTATGTGTCAGGCCGGGGACTTTTCAATTGACCCTATTACATATTAAAAGAATTACGTGATGTGCCAAACTTTGTTGATTTGCCTTTGATATAGCTTCAAAGGTACAAATCACCAAGGTTATTTGTATTTTAACATTAACTCACTGATCCGTCGACTGACATAGATTCCTTCGTCAGTACTCTAAGTACTTCTAGGACACAAGTCAACTTGATATTTGACTCACATGTCTGAGTCCTTGTCCAAAGTGTAAATTTATTAATTAACCGAAACAATGATGTCGTCATTAATGTAGAAAAGATATTCAAATTCCATTGTTAGTAGATAACAGGGGGATCATGAAAAGAAAATAATAGACCTAATTTTTGATATAGATTTTATTGACATTATGTATTCTAGTGTTGAAATTTGAATAATAATCGTACAATTTTGCCATCAGGTACAAAGACGGCATTCCCGTAGAAGATTCTCCAAAACACCAAATCACATGGAACGAAAACCAAGCATCTCTAGAAGTCAAAGACGTTATAAAGGCAGATGGAGGGACATACACGTGTATCGCCGAAAATGAAAGCGGTTGCGCAGTGACCTCTGCCAAGTTAAATGTAACGGAAGCGGAAGTTGTTTCTTCCATTCATTACGAGCCTCCCCAAATAATCCAAGAACTACCGGCCGTCAGAGAAACAGTTGAAGGTTTAGCGGTATGTTTAAGAACTAAAGTGACCGGAACGAAACCTTTCGATGTGATATGGATGAAAGACGGATGCGTACTTCCGGATTGTGACGATTTTCAACAGAAAGAAAACGACGACGGAACTCTGGAATTGTTTATCAATGACACGTTCGAACAGGACAGCGGACAATACATGTGCGAAGTTTTTAATGCGTATGGAGATACGAGAACGAAGTGCAAATTAATTGTGAACGGTAAGTCAATTTATCTATGATATGATCTCATACGGTGAAATTGATATTGATGCTCGGATATTTTCAGACAAAAGCTCTGTTAATCATAATTAAACCGACGCGTGGGCTAAATAGCGACCCAGTTTTTATTAGTTCAATTAACTGATTGGATTGGTACGTTTGATCGAAACAATGCTGAAATTTAACTTTGTTTACTAGGTACTTCTAAATGGCCTGTAATTACTTTGACACGCACTTTTCAACCCGCTATGGGATTGTTTAACGTTTATTGCACTTTTTAAAAACACAAGATTGAACATACAACGATACACCAAAAGTGAAACACTGCTTCACATATTTGTCGATAGTAGAATCTATTTTGCGTTGATAATATTTACTTTTGTTGTAGTTAGTTTCAAATAAACTTTTGCTTTTTGTAAAATTTCTTTCATTCATGATCGTTTCTCAAGTGGAAACCCATTCATATTTGAATATTCCAAATGGTAGCTTTTCTAAACGTGAAAATGGAAGTTAAATGTCGATACCTACTGTATTTAATATCTATGTTACCGGAAATGTATGAAATCTGTCATTGTATACAATTCCTAGGAAATGTTTATAATTAAATGTTAATGTGAAAATTCATTTTCAATTTTTACCCACTATAAACTTAATTTTATACATTTGCTAGTACAATATCGGAATTTTATACAATTCCTAAGAAATGTGTATTAAAAAATGTTTGAAACAATATTTTATAGATTTCTTAAATAGCCTCGGAATTGTATATATTTCTAGGAATTGCATACAATTCCTAGATTTCATACATTTCCGGTAACATCTATATAATGTTGATATCCTTTGAGACTTCTAGTATCTTACAGCTATACATATTAGACTTCAAATTATTCAGTACTTGTCTATTTTTTTACTGCTACAAAATTTCGTCACGTAAAGATTTACTATCTATCACTTTTGGTATGTTTTCGTTCACATGTAGGCTTCAAATCGACCTATTTCTGTCAAATTTAAACATCAAGCTGAAACCGTCTACAGATTACTTCAAAGTAATGAGAAAAAATTGTTAATAAAAATAACGCCCTCGCCGGGAATAGAACCCGGGCCGCAAGCCTTACACGCCAATACTATTGCTACTAAGCCACGAAAAGTAGCAGCAGCAACAAGTTTATTACTACTAGAAACATTTTGGTGCTCGCGTCCTTATTATAGGAGGTTTTTGACATGCATTTTGGTCGAATTCCATTAAAACATCTGCCCATTAACTTTATAAAACGGTTTATAATTGGATGACATTGATTCTGGTCGATTATGCTGTTCCTCACACCATAATTTTGCATTTCTTAAACAGATCACACCTCATACAGCATACAAAACGACTACTTAGCTATCGGGTCCTTTGTAAAATCAGTTTTCATTGTACGGTTCGGTAATTCTTTGGCAGGAATGGAAAGGTATTCGAATCGAAATTCCTCTTCCGTTTCGAAACAGGTTACGTACGAATTTACGGCGTGTGTTGCACCGAGGTAAAACTTAATAAACAATTATTTCTGGCAATAAATTATTCGTATAATGCGACTACGTTTTTCGAGTGAAAGACGACCAGCAGGTCCGCGTGCGTGCATGCACAAGTATCAGTCTGACCTAAATGGCGATCGGCAGCGGAGAACAAAACAAAAAAAATATAAGAAAAGAAGAAAAACAGTCGCGAGAGCAGCTGTTTTGCATGCCAGATGGCTGCAGGATGTCTTGGCGCCTCTGATGACGGCGATCGCGATCAGCAATCGGCAATGCGTGGGCGGTGTTCTGGAATTTGTCGCATTTTTCGCATGAAATCAATTTTTAATTAAGATAAAACACACATAACAAAGGATACCATACCAATCATAGACTAACATTAAATGGCTGTATTAGAACATTTAAAAATGGTTAAAACATTCTTTCTAAAGTGAACATTTCTGGAATTTTTCTCGTATGAAAATATATTAGTTTATCATGCTTTAAAAACCCCCTTCAAAGGGCATTATTTTAAGAGGTCTCTCAAAATATTTAGAAATTTCCGAAATCGTCAAAACAATTTTTTTATTTTTTATTTTCTTTTCTCGTACTTTCACTATTTTCTAGAATAAAAATGATATAAAGATCCTGAAAATTTCAGGTCGATATTTTGATATTTAAAGGTCGCTCAAGATTTTTTAAATTGAATGAATATTAACAACTTTTTTATTTTTTTTTTTGTAGAATTTGACATACAAAAGAATCGAAATAAGACGAGAGACGCCAAAAATTTTTATAGACGATTTAAGTGAAAAAAAATAAAAAGATTAGTTGATTGGCTTGACTACTTGGAAATTTAAAAAAATCTTAAGCGTCTTTTAAATATCAAAATATCGACTTGAAATTTTCAAGATCTTTGTCATTTTTAGTGTAGAAAATAGCGAAACAACAAAAAATCGATTTTCGATGATTTTGGTAATTTTTAAAAATTTAAGCGACCTATTCAAAAAATTTTTTTAAGATTTCTTTTAAAGGGAACTCTTAAAACATAAAAAACTAACATATATTCCTAGGAGACTCGAAAAAATATATTCGTTGTTTTTTAGGTCAGCCTACTTGTATTTGAATAAGCTACGTATATACTTAAAAAAAAAAATAATAAAAATGACTGTGACATAGTGACCATTATTTACAGAAAATTCTCCACAAACATCTGCATTAGAATTTAAGAAAATTCCAAATCCAGTATTAATAAATGTAGGAGGAGAAGCTACTTTCTGTGTTCGAATAGCCACCGATGGAAATCAGAAACCAATAATCAGATGGGAAATCAAAGGAATTCCTGTAACTCCTTCAGACAGAATAACGGTAAGTTAGTAAGCTCGATGTCTTTAATAACAATTTTTGTCATGAAAGAATATTACGAATACGAATGCCTACTATATGGTACGATTGAGATATTGCGTTTTTTACATAAAACTTAAAGTCCTAAGTACCTTTATTATGGCAATATATAAAAAGTGTAACAGAAATAAGCGCCGAGCTTTGGAGGGTGTAAACTGGGTGTAATATCGTATGGTGAGTTCAACAGTGTGATTAAGGGCAATTTATAACTTACAATCCGAAGCTGGTCCTGTGCGTGAATTGGCAACATAGCTGTCTTCTACTGAATAGTGTAGCGCGATAAAAACTCTGCAGCTACATGGATGGAGAAGTAAACATTGTCGATTTTATCGAACGTTAAAGATAAGCAAAGTGAAGAAAAAAGTATTGGCTAATCGTCGAATCGAAATTCGTATCAAAATTGTTCAGATTCGACCAAAACCAACATTGCATTAACATTGCTAAGGAGCTGTTGAACTCCGCGACGACTGAACTTTACTCCAAAGGGTCATAACTGGTGACGAATCATGGGTTTATGGTTATGACGTGGAAACCAAAGCTCAATCATCCCTAGGGAAGCTGAGTTAAGACCGAAAAAAGCGCGCCAGTTTAGGTCGAATGTGAAGGTTTTGCTTACAGTTTCCTTAGATTGCAGGGGCGTGATGCATCATGAGTTTTTCCCACAGAGTAGAACGGTCAGTAACGAATATAACCTGCAAGTTATGCGCAATTTGCGCCCAGCAATACGCCACAAACGCCCGGATTTATGGAAGAACAAAAATTGGCTTTTGCACCATGATAACGTCCCTGCTTGTGTGCGAATGCTAAGCAATGGTCTAAACCTCTAGGCCATGCCGCTCGGTCCGCAATTGAATTTACCTGTACGTTTATCTCACAAACGGGGAGCATTGGGACATTTAATTTTCATGTTATACAGTGCTTCATCGGCTCCTGCAAGCTCGGCAGTTATTTCTGTTACACCCTGTATAAACGACGTCCGCTCCCAACTCAGCTTTGTATATCTGCATTATTGGTCCGCACTGTATATTCCAATAAAGTTACTATACACAATATAATGTCCTTTTTCATATATTGTATCCAACGATCAGTTAAGTGCTGTAGAAAACAGTTATATTGCGTCTATTTATATGAATGCCATCAAAAACTAAACAGTTGCGTAATAACGTACATTAGGACCGGTATAAGAACTGATAGCGACAATAAACGACCAGAATTTTTATGGCTTTCTATAAAACTATGTATTTACAGCTACGGAAAAAGTGGAAATAAAACAAATGTATAAGTAAAACTTGCCTACTGACATAATCAATAAGTACTCATTAAAGAAATGTTATCTAAATGATTTTACGATCATGCTACATCGGTATTAATTTAGTAGAAACATAAAAATACAGAAATAAAAAAATATACATTTATTTTTAAGTAATTCCTTAATCCATAGTGTACTGTTATTATTATTTTTTTATTTTTTATATAAGGGATCATATAATAATATTTTTTCAGTGTTTAAAACATCTGCCCATTAACTTTATAAAACGGTTTATAATTGGATGACATTGATTCTGGTCGATTATGCTGTTCCTCACACCATAATTTTGCATTTCTTAAACAGATCACACCTCATACAGCATACAAAACGACTACTTAGCTATCGGGTCCTTTGTAAAATCAGTTTTCATTGTACGGTTCGGTAATTCTTTGGCAGGAATGGAAAGGTATTCGAATCGAAATTCCTCTTCCGTTTCGAAACAGGTTACGTACGAATTTACGGCGTGTGTTGCACCGAGGTAAAACTTAATAAACAATTATTTCTGGCAATAAATTATTCGTATAATGCGACTACGTTTTTCGAGTGAAAGACGACCAGCAGGTCCGCGTGCGTGCATGCACAAGTATCAGTCTGACCTAAATGGCGATCGGCAGCGGAGAACAAAACAAAAAAAATATAAGAAAAGAAGAAAAACAGTCGCGAGAGCAGCTGTTTTGCATGCCAGATGGCTGCAGGATGTCTTGGCGCCTCTGATGACGGCGATCGCGATCAGCAATCGGCAATGCGTGGGCGGTGTTCTGGAATTTGTCGCATTTTTCGCATGAAATCAATTTTTAATTAAGATAAAACACACATAACAAAGGATACCATACCAATCATAGACTAACATTAAATGGCTGTATTAGAACATTTAAAAATGGTTAAAACATTCTTTCTAAAGTGAACATTTCTGGAATTTTTCTCGTATGAAAATATATTAGTTTATCATGCTTTAAAAACCCCCTTCAAAGGGCATTATTTTAAGAGGTCTCTCAAAATATTTAGAAATTTCCGAAATCGTCAAAACAATTTTTTTATTTTTTATTTTCTTTTCTCGTACTTTCACTATTTTCTAGAATAAAAATGATATAAAGATCCTGAAAATTTCAGGTCGATATTTTGATATTTAAAGGTCGCTCAAGATTTTTTAAATTGAATGAATATTAACAACTTTTTTATTTTTTTTTTTGTAGAATTTGACATACAAAAGAATCGAAATAAGACGAGAGACGCCAAAAATTTTTATAGACGATTTAAGTGAAAAAAAATAAAAAGATTAGTTGATTGGCTTGACTACTTGGAAATTTAAAAAAATCTTAAGCGTNACCAAAAATTTTATGAGCGTGGAATTATGCTACTACCAGAAAGATGACAAAAGGTGTTGGACCAGAACGGTCAATATATAATTTAATAAAGTATTTGTTTATTATACGAAAACTGTCTTTCATTTCCACAAAAAAAAAACGAAATAACTTTCCGAACAACCCTATAACATTTCTTAAAGTGTTTAGTTCATAAATTCCTTTATTTTATTGTTTGGCTTTATGATATTTTGTGAATATTCTCAATGTTACACAGACGAAATGTACCTACGTGAGGAATTCCAGTAGTTCCTGGTAGTATGAGGCTTTTTTGATTGTCACTAATACTTGGCTCATTGTTAGCTCTTTCTTACTCATTCTCAGAAATTTTCTGTACCTGTTTGCACTCGACACCCTCTCGTCTAGCGACATTCAGTAAATTCCAACATTTATCCAACTCCATGGAATGTTTCAATTAGACTCCACACCCTTTGCTAGTTGTTCTCTAGTTTTAAGTAAATTTAAAGTAGTTTTGTTTGAAAACATTAATTTATTTCATTTCATTTATTCATTCATGAAAAATAAACAATCAGATAACTACTTGTATTAGTTTTACAATAAATTAATTACTTGTATAATGTCAATCTAGGGTTTTATGCACCGGTATAATTAATAACATACTGCAACTGAATTAGTTTAAAAAGAAAGTACTGCTTCAAGAAGTAGATTTTATTACAAAATATGAAACATGACATAGGTAGTTACATTTTTTATATGTAATTGATCGTAGCCAAAAAAGCATATTTTGTTAGTTACATATTATCTTGCAGTTGTTGTTGTTGTTGTTTTACCTGTAGGATACAAACAACTTAATTTACACTTTTAATTGTTGTTAAGAATGAGGTTTGGTGATAATAAGGCAGTCCGTGTAATTGGATTTCGAACCAGCTACTGTACAAAAGTTGAAAGGCATTATTTTACTTTTAACGAACACGTCTCATTAAATTTATTACCAGTTTTTACTAATGAGTATCATCAAATCAGTGCAACAGCAACGTATGTTTGTAGCCGTGTACCACTTTGCAATGTGTCCCGAAAATGTTCATCTTGCACTCGATCCTTTGGAAAATTTTAAAACACACTTACAGTTATCCGTCGTAGTTTCGCTTGAATTATAGCTGATAAACGTTTAATACCGATTATGACCAAAGAACTATAATTTTAATAAAAAAATCAAAAGGACATACGATATTCTTAAAATTTAGATATACGTATTTCGAATGACACCTCATTCTGTATTTGAGACAGTGGTTACTGTGGTGGCTTCGCGTAGCATTCATGTGAAATACATTTATTACCACTTATAATTCAAGACTTATAATTCTGATAAAAAGTCAAGAGACAAAATTTGATGTTCTTAAAATTTCGATATACATCTTTCGAATGACACCTCATTTGACTGTATTTGATATGACGATTACAGTCGTGGCTTCGCGTAGCATATATGTGAAATTAATTTAATACCATCTATAATTTAAATAATACCATTATTCTTCTAATAAAATCTAAGAGCAAAGGTACGATTTTCTTAAAATTTCGATATACTTCCTTCGAATGACCCCTGTATTTGACTGTATTTGATATGACGATTATCGTCGTGGCTTCGCGTAGCATATATGTAGAATACATTTAATACCATCTATAATTCAAATATCACTATTCTTCTAAAAGATCAAAGAGTAAAGGCACGATGTTCTTAAAATTCCGATATACTTCCGTTGAATAACACCGCATTTGACTGTATCTGAGACAGAGGTTACTATGGTGGCTTCCCGTAGCATACATGTGAAATACATTTTATATCTACCACCTATAATTCAAGAAACATTATTCTTTTAAAAAATCAAAGAACGTAGGTACGATATTCTTAAAATTTCGATATAATTCCTTTAAAGGACATCTCGTTTGACTGTAATTGATATCGTGATTACTATAGTTATTACCGTTGTTACTTCCCGTAGCATACATGTGAAATGCATTTAATACCACTTACAATTCGAGATTTATAATTCTGATAAAAAGTCAAAGAACTTACAATATTCTCAAAATTTCGATATACTTCCTTGCAATGATACCTCATTTGACTGTCTTCGATATAGCGATTACCGTCGTGGCTTCGCGTAGCATATATGTGAAATACATTTAATACCATCTACAATTAAAGAACCATTATTCTACTAAAAATCAAGGAACATTGGTACGATGTTCTTAAAATTTCGATATATGTCCTTCGAATGGCACCTCATTTGACTGTATTTGAGACAGCGGTTACTGTGGTGGCTTCGCGTAGCATACATGTGCAATACATTTAATACCACTTATAATTCAAGACCTATAATTCTGATAAAAAGTCAAAGAACATATACAAAGTATGATGTTCTTAAAATTTCGATATACTTCCTTCGAATAACACCTCATTTGCCTGTATTTGATATAGCGACTATCATCGTGGCTTCGCGTAGCATACATGTGCAATATATTTAATACCACTTATAATTCAAGACCTATAATTCTGATAAAAAGTCAAAGAACATATACAAAGTATGATGTTCTTAAAATTTCGATATACTTCCTTCGAATGACACCTCATTTGCCTGTATTTGATATAGCGATTATCATCGTGGCTTCGCGTAGCATACATGTGCAATATATTTAATACCACTTATAATTCAAGACCTATAATTCTGATAAAATTTCGATATATTTCCTTCGAATGACACCTCATTTGCCTGTATTTGATATAGCGATTATCATCGTGGCTTCGCGTAGCATACATGTGCAATATATTTAATACCATCTAGAATCATTGGTAGGATGTTCTTAAAATTTCGATATACGTCCTTCAAATGGCGCCTCATTCGACTGTATTTAAGACAGCGGTTACTGTGGTGGCTTCGCGTAGCATACATATGAAATACATTTATTACCACCTATAATTTATGAACCATTATTCTTCTAAAAAACCAAAGAACATAGGTGCGATATTATTAAAATTCGATGTACTTACTTCGAATGACACCTCATTCGACTGTATTTGAGATAGTGATTACCGTCGTGGCTTTGCGTAGCATATATTTGAAATACATTTAATACCACGTATAATTCAAGACTCATAATTCTGATAAAAAGTCAAATAATATACAATATTCTTAAAATTCCGATAAACTACTTCGAATGACACTTTCTTCGACTCTATTTGAGATAGCGGTTAGCCGTCACGGCTTCACGTAACATATATGTAAAAAACATCTAATTCAAGTTAAAAAGTTAGAATTATTGGTACGTTATGCAGTAGCGAGAGTTGAACGATATATTAGGGACGTTTTGAATACTCATATTTTATTTAGAGTGGTTTTATTTATGTGTTACCAGTGATGAACATCTAAAATTTTACTCTATCAATATTACAAGAAGTATACAATAAATGGGACATTCTCAGAAAATTGGTTACAATATCCGTTAAAATGACGACTAATCGCCTTTTCCTAATAAGTAGATTAGTCATCAAATAAACCGCGACAAACTTTCGAATGCGTTTGATGCATATTGTTTATTGTTTTCCGATCGCATTATCTATGAGGAGTAACGTACCTATTAATGGTACCAAACGCCGCATCGCAGCGTGCCGCATGGGATTTGTCTTGCACAACGTCCTTTTGGTACCGTTAACCACGAAACGACGTAAACGACAACAATAACAACTGCATGGACATAACATAACATAACATATAGGCACTTTTATCGTTAGTATTATAGAAAGTGTGGCAATTCAGTTTACCCACTTACATTTATATGTATGTATAAGTGGAAAACATTATTTGTACATACATATGTGTTATGAGACGCAGCACATGGTTCACTTTTATTTTCTTCTGTTGTTATATGCATGCTTTTCAAGTGTTTCATAATACGGATGACATCAGCACTTGTATGTTAACATTCCACTCAATGTTTTATTAATTTTATTGAATTGTTAACTACCAAGAATGCGATCCATTTTTTGGGCTTTGTATCTTAAATGGAAAAACGCAAACTTTATATGATTATTTAGTTGTCCGTCCATCTGTTTGTTTGCTTAGTTCTAAAAACGGTTAGCACTGAGGAATATGCATTTACATGCACAAACTTTAAAAGTCAGGTTTAAAACGCGTTTCTTGTAGTTTAGCAATTTGTTAGAAGGCTAGTTTTCAAAATCAAATTCAAAAATAAACTTTTTTTTACAGTAACCTTACCGAAAGAACGATATTCTTCCCTAACTTTAGAGTTGAATCCTGAACATTCCCTTCCGAGTAAGAAATAACATTTGCTTCTTATTAATAATAAAAGGTTTCATCATCCACTGCGTAGTTTCCACCTTCAGTTTTCATGCGAAATTATCTTTCCTAATAAATAATAAATACGATTTCTTCCCTGGGAAGTTATGTGGTGTTTCCTCAAATCAGAATAAATTTACTTTCAGGGAAGAAGTATGCTAAAATATACTACTAGAAATTACTGGTTCCGCTCCTGGAAGTTTGCCATTTCAGTCTCGAGAGGGAATGCTATACATTCTTTCCTTCGTGCATACTATGCTAATTTTGATAAATGAAATGAGTCGAATATTATTTCTGAAAAATTGTGGAAAATGTTAACAATATCTGAAAAAGTAATCAGTATCATCCCATTTTCCATTTACTTATTTAATGTTTCTTCACTTGAAAAAATATTTGAAATTAGTATTAAAAGAAAATGATGTTGATCACGTTAAGTATATGTAGGTACAGATAAAAGTACATATCAATGCGTCAGTTGCTAACCTATCTCGCCTATTTCTTCCATGTAGTCCTCTGTTCTCCTATTCTTTCTAATACCTCTTCATCTCTAACCTTCTCTATCCACGTTATCCTCATGATTCGCCTATAACACCAAATTTCGAAAGCTTCTAACCTTTTCCTTTCCGCCGCGCCCACTGTTCCTGTTTCGTACCCGTACAACGCTGTGCTCCAAACATACACCTTTAACAACCTTTTTCGAATTTCTAAATTGACCTTTAGAGAGCATAGAACTGACTTCTTTTTATTGAAGGCGACTCGACCTTGCGTTATCATCTGCTTTATATCCCTACTACTCCCTCCGTCCTTGCTTATCTGACTTCCTAGATACCTAAAATCAGCCACTTCTAATTTTTTGTCTTCTATCTTTACAGTACTGTTTTGTCAATACCGCTTCTATTTTATTTAAAGCTATCTTTAACTCCTCCGTGTTAGATGCTAATACTGCTATATCATCTGCAAATCTAAGCATACTAATCTTTTGCCCCTTTATATCTATCCCTACAGTACTGTCTTTAATGATGTTGATCGCGTCTTCGACGTGTAGATTAAAATGTATTCGCTTCTGTACGTTGCTGCTTCAGCTCTATAACTACCTGTTGCTCTTTATGCAAACAAAGTATCACTCTAGCATCTCTGCAACTCATCCCTACATTTTTAAGTATATTTAACATCTTGTCCCATTTAACGGCCATCATGGAGGTTCTTTTTTCCTGTTTAGTACAGAACCCCGACAGATTTCCCGTTTCGTCACGCGAATTGTTCCATCAAAAATGCTAAAAAATTATCATCTTCTATAAATGATAATATATATGTTTTTAATCGTTTATTTTGTTTTGTCAATCAGGTGGAAGAGCTAGACGACATCAGTATCCTGCATATCTCGGGTGTGACACATGAGGAAGCGGGTCCCGTCTCTTGTCTTTCTTGCCTGCCTCCGACTAATGTATCGAAAGACAACAACAAAAGCAGCAGCAGTACAACTCATTTGACCGCGGACCGCGCCGCGAACGACATCGGTGAGCCGTCATTGCCGCGAAATAAAACCGAAATCGGTGAAGACGATACTGTAAAAAGTTCGAAACGCTGGATCCGTTGTTGTGTCGATCTGTCGGTAGTTCCGGATGTGCACGTTTTCGACGACAATCGTCTTTATTGTTACTCAGGTGATGAGAATGTCCGTGAAATAGAGAGTGATACTGCTATAATGGGTAAAAGGAGTGTCAGAGAGATGGAAGAGCCGGCTATGATACTCGAAGGGCCTGAAGATGTTACTGCCCTTGTCGGAGACCGAATCCTTCTCAAGGCCACGTATATGGGCAAACCGGAACCGCGAGTCAAATGGAGCAGAGCGGTAAGTTCATTATTCCATAATTGCAGAAAATTGTATGAAAAATGCACTTCTTGCGATTAAACTTCATTAAATTCTTTATATCAGAATATTCAATACGATTATTAATGCAATTTACACAATTAATTTATATTCTCAAACATTAACAATATACTAGATCAGTTATTATCTACTTCTCCTTGTCTTTACTATTCATCTTCTAATTCAACAACTTCATATATTTTTTGAAAATATTTTTATCAAAGGCCTAATCAATCACAGCGATTGTAGGGGTTTAACAAATAAAACTTTTTTGAAACATTATACAGTACTTTTTCTTTATTTTCCTTATTTATTTATGAAATGTTTCACACGAAGATTTCCGTTCCGATTCATATCTTTATTTAATAAAGTGCAAACTGTATGTATTTTATGTTTTACAAAGATTTTTGTGTACTAATCTTTTCTACTTATTAATTATACGCATAATTAAATTACAATGTAGTATGATGAAATTTTTTAACCAAATGTGTAAATAATTTGATATGAAATTCACTACAAAACGACGCTGAGCCTTTCAAGATAAAATCCCCAAATTTTTTACACCAATTTTAAGTAGCTATATTTATTTACTAATTGGAAGCAATTTCTAAATTTTAGCAATGTATTGTTATAAAGATACTTTTAGATCAAAAGACTCAGATACAATTAGAAAAAATGGAGAAATTATACCTATACAATTTCTGTTTGAGGTATTGTTGTTACTATCAAGGTTTTATGATTCAAGTTAAACCTTTATTATAGGTCACTTTAGCTTTAACTTCCTTTATAAGACGATGATCATTGCTAACATTTTTTTGCTGAGCAATCATAACAAAGCAGCGCAATTTTATCATTGTAAACAATCTGTCTGAATTGTTAAGAATAATAAGTGCAATAAATAATTGTTGCTTATTTAAAGTTGTTATATACACTTGTATGAAAATAAATAAAAGTGAAACACAAATACTGGTATGCAGGGGAAGAAAAAGTAGGGAAAGAGTGAATATAAAGATAGGAGACGAAAAATTAGAAGTTCCCTAGACAAAAATTTTCATTCTCTCAGAGTCTTTCAGCGTTTCTGAGAGCGTCTCTCACAGT